GGGGGGGGGGGGGCAGATGGAGGTCTGTGGAATTCGTTCGATTCGCCCCTTCTTCGACGTCTCGCTACCAGACGAACCCTCTTACGAGTCGAATCGTGGGTTTCGAAGGGTAATCCCAGAATATTTCGGTGAAACCCTTAGATCTATAGGGTGTTCATTTTATCTTGAGCACGCATAATAAGATCTGTAGCCGAAAGATTGCATGATTTCATGGGACAACTATAAATATAGAACATTTTCTTTCACGGTCGTTTCGAGTCAAGTATTCGAGGTCATTATTGATCTTTTAAACGTGATTCATAGTATTCGAGGTCATCTACAAGTGATGATATTATGCACGGATGAATTCGTCCTCTTTTTGCTAGCTATGATATTGCATTAACAAAAATATATCTTCCATTTAAAAAATCAATAATGATCTTAAAATCACCTTGGAGGAAAATGTCCTATGAACAATCTGTATATACCTATAGACACGGCTTCAGATAATTTGTCTGAAGCAAAGATGAACCACCTGCATGACGTCACACGTGGCCAAGATGCATAAGTTATGCTAATATGATGCATAATTACTATTTGTGCAGTTTCAAAAGTACTTAACTGAAATAATAAATACGTAAAACAATTTTAATGCTCGATTTTAATGTGTTGTTAATTTTTGCAAGAGATGAGTAAATAGACGTATACACACGTTGTTTTTAAGTTATCCAAGATAATAAATATTCTTATATAAGAATATATTTTGGTCGTTAAGTCTTACCTTTTTTGATTTTAAATAGCGCTCATTATAACATATTTTGGAAATTGTAATTTTACGAAATTTGTTTGAAGAGATCTTGAGAGAGAGAGATTTGTTTGTTGAGATCTTGATGATGTAAAATGACAAATACACGAATGCTCGGAGAAAAATGATTTATATACATCGACGTTACGCTTAAATTATAGATGTACACTCAGCCATTTTAAAATCATCTTGTTCCGCATGCGACCTCATGTGTGGTCCATTATCTTTGCTTCACTGGATCGTTGGATTTCCTATACACGTACTGTACATAGGCCGTGTCTATCGTACTATATATGGTCTAAATAAGACGAAACCGATCACTGTACGGTAGAACCTCGTTCGTTACACGAAACAAAATCGAAAATACATGAGAAAATCGACCCGTGGGTAAAAGCCAATTATAAAAAGTTTTCGCAAAAGTGTTCTCGAAGTAAATTTTTCAGGTCGAAGCTGTTTTTTATTTGCATCGTATAGTACTCGCCTTGAAGAACAATAGGTCACGAATGAATCATTCTTTTAACCAGTTAGCTGCTGCGACCCCTCCGAGAATATCTACAATGTGCGCAAAAAGTAACCGATGTACATATGTACTTTGTTTACACTATATATGTACAATTTCTTCGCAATAATTTTATTTATACTTTTTATTTGTTCGTTTTATTTCGTGTTTGCCGCCAAATATTCAGAACGTCTTAGAATTTACGAACATATTTTGGTTTTATTTGAAATATTGCCGGTTCTTCATGACGAGTATACTTGTCAGAGACA